ATCGTGTACTCCGAGTACACGCGCCTATTCGCTGGTTTTTTGTATTTTATTTTCTTTTTCCACTAACAATTGGATATAAATAATAATCAAAGAATAGAAATAATATCCAACATTATAAGAGGCGTGTATACCTGAAAAATACTCAAAAACTTCCTTTTTAGGCGAATCGTGCATTCTTGGGAGTACACGCGCCTCTTCCCTCGCTTTTTGATGTTTTTTTTCTTCTTTTCACTGGCAATTATGAACAAATCATAAAATAAATAATATACAAGTAACACTAAGAACATTTCTCTTGTATTTTTTGAAACCAGGTGAGGCAGTAGTGGTCCTTACAAGGGGAACTAAGAACTTCCACAAGAATCAAAGTCTATATTCTCTTTATGCGGTACTACTGAACATCAAAAAGGGCAGGAAAGCTAGTTCATTCACCGAAACTTAGATAAAACTTGTAGAAGGGGGAAATGTAAAAAGAATGGCGAAAAACGGCTTTCGTGAATTTTTAGGCGTTCATGGTTCCGTCGCGAGCGCGCAACCATGAACGGGATGACTGCCTAAGTGTCGCCCGCCGCGAACGCGTCCTTCGACAAACGGGAGTTTTTGACGAACGTGTTAATGTCGAAAACGACTTGTCATGTTTACATCATCCTGTAGTGTGTTTTCATTTTAGTGTTTACCTCTCTGAAAGCTCCTCTCAATTGCGAAATTTCTGAGTTTAGAATAATATTGATGGGCAGAATAATATTTAGGGCCTTTCATTGGAAGTTGAAAGCGGAGAAACTATCGCACTTGTTGGTTCGAGCGGCTCTGGCAAAAGCACTTTGGTCTGACAAGTTTCTTCAAACCTCCTCGATTTCATTGGAAGGAATGATTTTCCATTCAGGTTAATCTGCTTTGTCGACTATACGAAGTTACTGATGGTAAAATCACTATCGACGGAGTGCCTCTCTGTGACTACGACGCCAAGGCATTGAGAAAGGTGATCTCCTTATATTCCGTTTTCACTTTAAATTCACGACTTTTGAAGCCAAATTCACGACTTTTCAAAACAGATCCGGACTTTGCTACCCATGATTCACGAGACATTGCTGCAAGCCCCGCCCCATGGCCACGCCCTCTTTGCAGCTTTTTGCAGAAATTTTTATATTTTTTGAAAAATTCTTTGCATTTTTGGACTGCTGCGTGGAAGTTCAGGCAATGACTCGTCAACTGTTTCGGGGTGACGCAGCAAAGCATTCCTAGCATAGCAAGCCTGGGGACTTCGTCTACTGCGCTAATGTTCCATACATGTTGCGGAGCGGGCGGGCTTTCTCTGAAGTGCTCGGACTTCTTACAGGTGAGTGTAGGCTTCACGTAGCAGTTCAAAACCTGTTCAAAAATAGCAAGGCTTTTGAAACAAATTTCGCAAAAAGCCGCGAAGTTAGCGTGGTAAGGGGAGTCAACGTTCGCAACACATCCTTCAAGGAATGGGCGGAGTGGCCCATGTGCCAATGTACTGCAATTTTCAGCTAGTGTACGCTCGTGAAACAGCAAACGTGCAAAAAAGTCTCGAAAGCAGAAGTTGTTAAGTAAAATTTGAAAAATCAAGATCACGCTGAAGTGTGGGCGTGGACATAGATGCGGGGCTTTCAGTAGTGTCTAACAAGGCATTAGTAACTGAGTCTCGGATCTGCTTCGAAAAGTCGTAAATTTGGTTTGAAAAGTGAATTTATGAAAATGATATAAATTCATATCGAATAAATGGTCTTCTAGAAAGTGAAATGCGGAACTCATTGCAGGCCATTGGAATAGTCCAGCAGGAACCTTATTTATTCAATGGTACAGTGAAGGAGAACATATCGTTGGGTCGAGAAGGAGTTGATGACGAGAAAGTCAAAGAAGCTGCCGATATGGCAAATGTTACTGAGTTTGTGAAAAATCTGGACGAGGTATTATTCAGCAAAGATTCTGCTCACTAACGTATTAAGAGATTTTCTCCAGTCCTCTCCATAAATCTGCTCAAATAACGTTCAAATTATTGTTTGGAAAGGAATTAGTTTATCTATTGCTTACGCCAGGGTTTCGACACCTACTTGGGTGCCGGTGGCGTGACTCTGTCCGGTGGTCAGAAGCAGCGAATCGCGATTGCTAGAGCCATTGCTACTGATCCACGAATTCTTCTCTTGGACGAAGCAACCAGTGCTCTTGATGCAAACAGTGAAAAAATTGTACAGGTGAGTAGACATGGTGCGGGTGATGCTGCTTCCGAAAATCCTGGCCCTTGCCATGTGTGATGTAGGTCTGACAGCTGGATGCTTTAATGCTATACCGTAGCGAAGCACGCAACACGTGACATGCCACCACACCAGCTATATGCCTAGCCAAGTCAAAAGTGTTACTCCTCCGCTCTGCGCCCTCTTCCCTTTAAATGTTCTCTACACTGAGCCGCTATAGGCAGTTTGCCGTTCATGTTGTTCGCTGCGGCAGCTCCGCATCGACGTTCAGAGTGCATATTTTGGACGTTGAGCA